GTATAGAAACCTATTTTCTTTAAGTATTCCTATTAATAAACTGGTTTAGCTGATTAAAGAAATGGAAGTCAAGACTGTGCGGCAAAAAAAGGAAAATGTTTTAAAAATTGTCATTCGATTGTACTTAAAGCAGTTGATTGTAGAACTCGTTTGGCATCTTTTCAGATGAGATGGCTGTATCTCAAAGAATTAAAAAAAAAAATCATACTACCCCACTTTGTAAAATCTATTTAAACATTTCATCAGAACCAAAACGTAGAACAAATCTTGGATCTGAGAACCTTGAATGGCAAATAACTCCACAACATAGTTGTGAAAGGCATCACCATGGAGGGATACTGTGCTTGGTAGAAGCCTCTGTTTTTAAAATTTTATCTGCAGCCATTGAAGAAAGAAGCTTCTTGTAGAAGAGACAATCCAGACTCCATCATCAACCCACTGTTTTACTCTCCTCCTCTCACTCTTTTCCCGATGCAGTTAGAGAAACAATAGTATATTGATGTGGCACTGGCTTATATTTCACTCAACATGTGCAGAAGACTCTCAGCGCACGTTGGTCCTCGTGCTAAACTGATTGTCAGGTTTCACTCTGTGCAACATATTTTGTCGGTTAGTTTTCTTATGGATGATGTTGTGAGATGACACCTCCATTAGTCCTTTGTAGAGCTTTGTCTTGATCCTCCGGGGGCGTTCGAACCAGCCTTCTTACACTCGAGTGACCATCATGAGCTCTGGTCCCCTGGGAAGTGGCAGTCAGGATCCTGGGAGGACACCATAGCCCTGGCTGAAAGACTGTGCGGGGAGGGGAGACAAAACAAACGTTTATCACTTTTCCTTTGTTTGCAACTTTGTGGGAGTGAAACTTTAACGTATTTTGAAAAATAATATATTTTTTCTCTTTCACACTGGGGAGACCAGCGGCTTTGAATGTTATCAGCCCATTAAATGGCTGTTATTAGTTGTTATCATCCCCATAGGTTGCGTTCAGACTAGGCCTGTCGCAATAAACAATAAATCAGTTAATCGCATGATTAATGACAATTGTCAACCTCATTTTCATTTATCAGCTTTATCGTTTCTTCGTGTCTCTCTCTTTCTACTGAAGACACTGGAAGACAAAAGGGTCAACTTCGCCCTTCACTGACCCCTCCCTTTCTCTTTTCTTGTTAAAATCCATTTTAACTGTCCAAAATTGTGTTTTTGGTTTGTTAAAAGCAGCTAAGCTGAGAAGCTAAGCTACGAGCTAAGCTAACAGGCCGACCACGGGAAAAAACCTCCGTCTTGTCGAAGCTTTAAAATTCACAGTTGAAACCTGTGCCTTTATCTAAAAAGTTGTTTTTCTCTGCAAAAAGAAGCTAAGAACTTGTTTACTGATTTTTTTTAATCAAAAGCTTTGTGTGAAAAATGCTATGCTAAAGAGCTCAATCAACACAGAGCATCCGCCATTTTAAGAACCAAAGAGAGACAGCTCATGTCACGTCAAGAGACCTCCCTCCCATTTTTCTTAAAGAGGTACGATGCTCACTCCTTCACTATCCATCCTTTGGTTCAAACAGTCTTATACTGCTATCTGGTGATCAAAAAAAGGTACTACACACAAAACATATTTAAAAAAAATCTTAAATTTGACAATAATTACTAATTATTGTCAAATTTCAAACAATATTGTCGTTTATCGCAATAATTTCTGAGACAATTAATCGCTCAGCAAAATTTATCGTGGCAGGCCTAGTTCAGACTGTCCCTCCTGTCACAGTCGGTTTAAAGGTACATTCTCATCACTGATAATATGTAGCTGCGCACACGTCTAAAACCGGAAGCTTTTTGTTGTTAGTTGTATTTTTCGGACTATAAGGCACACCGGATTATAAGGCGCATTAAGCAAAACAAAACAGTCAGATTAGACAAACTTTATTCAACTCATTCAAAATAACTCTCAACATTGTTCAGTTATACCGCATAAAATAGGTTTGAGATCAGTAAGCACAACCAGAATTAATACATAAATTGTGCCAGATTATAAGGCTCACTGTCAGTTTTTAAGAAAAATTAAAGGATTTTAAGTATGCTTTATAGTCCAAAAAATACGTTAACCCTTTTCCTAAACCTAACCTCACACCTGACCCAGAGCACTGACCCTAAACTTAACCCCTTGACCCTTAACGTAATCCCCTAACCCTATTATCAGCGATAAGAATGTACCATTAAACCTACTAGGAGGTACAGGAGGGACAGTCTGAACGCAACCTATGGGGATAATAACTAATAACGATCATTTAATGGCTGATAACATTCAATGTGGTGGGGGAAACTGAAATTACAGGTTGGTAAGGGAGCAGAATTCTGATCTGGGATCTGTGTCACACCAAATTTTACAAGTCTTCAGTTGCAAGTGGGATCGTATCATTTTTACCAGGCTAACGTCTATTAGCAATAGAAGCTAATAACAATGTATCATGCATACAAACACTGTAGTGGCATATTTTATTAACAGTTGTTGAACAGTATTGGTGTGTGGACGATTTAATAAGAAATTAACTGGCAGATAGTAAACGGTTAAAAACTGCAACAACATTTTTATACGAGGCAGCCATGTTGGATTTTGAAGTCAAAGTTGGTGACGAAGGAAAAGGAATTTTGACGATGAGGGGTGGGGAAGGTGAAGTCTTTTTCCCAACTGGGATCTCAGACATTTTAATATTCAAGTTCTAATGGCGCATATTAATTTGGCAGATTGGAAACTTCAAGATGTTCATGCTTTGCGAAGCATATTTATACCTATTAGAAATTTTAATCTCACGCCTTATTTCACTGAATTAGTGATCATTGTTCCTTGAAAAGGCACAAAAAAATGGAAGCCGTCCCTTTCAAATTTTTACTTGCTCATCTCGAAAAGTTCACATTAGTTCTACCTAATTTCTGAAGTGGGTTCGGTTAATTTAATCACAGCGAAGACAAAATGATGTGGCAGGATGTGAAAAGCCAACAAAATGATGTGAAGATGAACATATTTAAATATACTTAAATATGTTATGATTTAAAGTTACCAAATAGTACTAAATATTGGAGCACTAGTGAGGGTTTCAAACTATGTGTTAATTTCAGTGACAACTAGGGAGAGATGTAAACAGGTGGACACAATAAAAAAAAAAAAAAAAAAATTAAGAATCTGAGCTATTAAAAATGTTGGAAAAAAAGGGAAAATGTCAAACTTTAAAACTTCATCAATAATATCAAATGAAAAACACATTTTGACAAATAAGTCCTATAAAATTTGAGCTATTCTTCATTTTATTTATGTAAATTAAAAGTAGGCTTTGTCATTTTAAAAGTGGTTTTAAACAATGTTTCTTGGGGTTTCTAGAGGTTTTACAGTTATGCAAATTTTTCACTCTTTAAATAAACTCCAAAAGTAAAATAAAAAATAATAACAATTTGAAAGGTATAAACTAAAATTACATCATGAACAAAGTGATTCCCAAAGAGCTATGAGCTGCAGAGTTCAGGCTGTTAGAACTTTATTGGAGGTTTTTTTTTTTTTTTTTTTTTTTTTTTTACATATCTGTATTTTTCATAATAATTTAAGCCTCCCTGTTTTTTCTCTTGTCCTCCGGGTTCTCAATATGTTTAAGTCACTGTATACCATAGACCTGGACACAAAAATATTTTAAGGAAGAAAATACCACCTACGCTATGTTAATGACAGATAAGCCATAAAGTCCCGTATTTTTCGGACTATAAGGCGCACCGGATTATAAACTGCAATATCAGTGAATGGGTCTGTTTTCATACATAATGTGCATTAAGCAAACAAAACAGTCAGATAAGTCAAACTTTATTCAACTCATTCACAATAACCACATAAAATTGTTTCAAGGTCAATAAGTACAACCAGAATTAATACATAAGGTGCACCTGATTATAAGACTCACCGTCAATTTTTGAGATAATTAAAGGATTTTAAGTGTGCCTGATAGTCCGAAAAATATGGTATGCCTGTCAGACTAGTTAATCCTTGGAATTTGTTTGTTAAAATAGAAAGAAAAATCATTATCCATCCATCTATTATCTTTAACTGCTTCGTCTTTTTCGGGCCGAGGGGTCATTGGTGCGAATATCCAGCAGTCACTGTGTGAGAGGTGGGAGGCGCCCTGGACAGGTCTCCAGTCCATCACAGGGACACAGAGACAAATGAGACAAACAACCATTCACTCTCTAACTCAAGGAACGAGCCAATGTTGTGCCTGAACCAAACATACGACTTAACGAGGAATCCATTATTAGCCGTTAACTGCTTAAAGTGATAATTTTGTCATTTTTAATGTAATGTTCTGTCAAATGTATGTCAATAGTTAGTATATATCAGCTGTAACATCAGTCTTAAAGCACAGAGTATGAAACAAACAGCAAAAGTGATTCGTCCTAGCTAGGCTAATGACAAGTGCTAGTTTTTCTCAATGTTTTTCAGGCCCGTGAAACAACTTTTCTCTCTCAAAAATGACCTACTGGTTTGAAAGAAAACCTTTAGACTTTTGTGGGACACTGTTATTTTAATAATGTAATGTGGTTTTTGAGAAAGAGTTGTTACAAAGGCCAGAAAACTTTTGACATTTTAAAGGCACGGTGGCTCAGTTGGCACTGTCGCCTCTCAGCGAGAAGGTCACCAGATCGAATCCCGGCTGGGGAGGCTCTCTAGGTGGAGTGTGCGTGTTCTCTCTGTGCATGCGTGAGTTTTCTCCGGGTACTCCGGTTTCCTCCCACAGACCAAAAACATGCACGTTAGACTGATTGGTAACTCTAAATTGTCTCTAGGTGTGAGTTAGGAACATATTTTATGTTTGAACAATTCATAGATCAGTGTTGATTGGCTAAAAGCAAAAAGACTCCGCATTATTCAAGTTCAAGGACTTCATTTTTTAAAAATCAAAGCTCAACGAGAAACTTTGACAGACCTTGAGAAACCCCAGAGAACCACTGATCAAAACCGCTTTAGAAGATTCCTAGAACATTTGGTTCCCTGAAGAAAAACATGAGAAAACGGGAGTTAATCAGGACAGTTTCATCCAAAGTTTACTTTTCTTGCAAAGCTGTAATTAAACTACCACACCAATGAAATAGAACAGTTTAGACAAATTTTCCCATCATGCCTCATTGATTTTAGATGTCTGGTGTATTAAAAACAATCTCACAGCAGACCTAATGTTGAAACGTTTCTATATCTGGTCGGCTTTTGGACACAGTTTCGATAATACCGAGTACTGGGGGGGGGGAAAAGGAGTGACGGTGTATTTCAAGTAATAGCAAATGTTTCTCCTGAGTTATTTCAGAGCAAGCAGCCTCTTCACCTGCGTCATGTTCAGCCCACATGGAGCATTCATGGAGCTGAATTTCACTGATGCTGCTGGTGAGTCACAATCCTCCAATAATGAATGCATTCTATGGAATAATAATAATTTTTAGGTAAATAATGTCTAATTTTGTAGGTGAAATGACTAACTCGCATCAGCTGATTGTGTTTTTGTTTATTGCCATCATCATCCCACCCCCCAGGTGTGTGCAGAATGTGGTGAAATGTTATCAAATGCGACAAAAAGATGGCAGTAGCTGACGTATATGAAAGCCTGCGAACTTCCCAGCCTGCGCTGCTTTGGCGAAAAAGCTCTGGATGTGATGCAAGAGTGAAAGCAAACGGATTTAGGACATGACTGGTTCAGCGGATAGGGATGGATAAAAGATGTAGACACAGGCACAAACCTGGTCTGTGAGGATTCGAGGCTTAATATCTGGAATGGCACCCCCTCTCAGCTCATCTTCCACAGCCATGAGTCTAACAACAGGGAAATAAAAACAAACACACCGGTTGAGAAATGTCCAGGTATGAAGTCGGGTGTTTTTAAGACTTTCTGTGAGATTGCATGGTAGGGTAGTACCGTTCTTGTCCTTGAGGGCCACCATCCTGCATGTTTTAGATATTTTTCTGCTCCAGCATGCCTGATTTGAATCAATGGGTGATTAACAGGCTTCTGTAGAACATTAAGAGGTAATGCAACCATTAAATCATGTGTGTTGGTGCAGAGAAACAAGCCCAACATGCAGGAAGTGGCCCTCAAGGACCAGGATGGAACAACCCTGTTACATGGCCATGTGATGATGTTAAAACAA